TGGGACTGAAACCCCAAACATAAAACAGAAGCAATAGTGTAACAGATTTAAAGAAGACTTTAAAAATAGTCCACATAAAAAATACACATATAAAAACTTACAATTTATCCTTAATAGATTTTTACCCCATTTTTATTCCCTTCACCCTCTGCCTTAATTTTCAACTGCAGATTATTAAATGCCACAATTTTGAAGTTTTCTCCATAATGTTTTATAATTTCATTTGTAAATAGAAAGATCTTTTAGAAAGAGTGTCTGGACCTTCCATTTTTGTGGAATATCCAGACATTTGAAATCAAGTCTATTCTTCACGAAAATCACTGGGAGGAAGGGGTTTTTAAAAAACACTGATGACAGAATTCACACATGACCAGTTGAGTCATAATCTTCTTTCTGAGTGCTTATTTTTTTTTTCTTTTTTGCTCCATAGACTAGTGTCTTGGGGCTTCTCAGGCCTATGTGGTACTAGATAACTGCCCTCTGCTCCCAAAGATACATGAAACCATTCTAGTAACCATGAATAATTCACTGACTATCACCTTCATGGGGAAAGAATCTAGTTGACCCAGGTTCAACTAGACCAATCAACTCTGGTCCAATCAGCCCCAAGTTCATGTGGTGTGGCTATAGCTACTGGAGGTCCACCCATTATGAATGGGGGTCCTCAATAAAAGGAGAGTTGAGGCACGTGTGCAGATACCCCAAAGATGTCTCCTACACTGACACACAGTAGGGATACAACAGGTATTTAGAATACATGAATGAATAAAAGAATAGATGGGTGAACTAAGAAACTCTGCTAGTTTGGAACAGTCTAATAAACTCAGATTGATGGATACAGAGCAATTAAGGATGTACTTTGTACCAGAGACTGTGATGAGTACTGCAAGGAATAAAAACTGAAAAAGAAAGAAATTCCTGACTTTAAGGAGAAAGGCAAGGAGAGGTATCATTAATATATAAGAAAAATATAGACAGTGGCAAGAACAACACAAAGTGTTAATTATGGATATTCAGTCAGTGGAGAGATTATACTTTGGGTTACCTTAGTTAAAACAATACCAGCTAACTAACATTAGCACTGCTATGTATAAAATAGATAGCTAGTGGGAAGCTGCTCTATAGCACAGGGAACTCAGCTTGGTGCTCTGGATGACCCAGAGGGATGGGATGAGGGGGTTGGAGGGAAGCTTAAGAATGAAGGAATACACATTTGCATATAGCTGATTTCACTTTGTTGGACAGCAGAAACTAACACATCATTGCAAAGCAATTATACTCCTATAGAGAATAAAAGATAACACCAGGTCCTAAGAAATTCAGAAATCCCAGAGGATAAATGCAGTAGAAGTTTATTTCTTGCTATGAAAATTTCAATTGACAACAGAAAATAGGGGATGGGAAAGGCAATGGGCTCAGCTTCACAGGGTCTTCAGGAATCCAGCTCTGCCACCACCAACACGATGATGATAATGGTGACTCTACTAAGAATCAAATCCAACCAGCAGGAGAGAGAGCATCTCTCACCCAGAAGGATATCAGGGCTTCTGCTGATAGTCCACCAGTTCCCCCTCCATCACATGCTGCCCGTCACTGAAGAGGAGGCTGGGGGAGGTAACCTGCTATGCTCCGGAAGAAAGGCAAACACATTTTGAGACCTGATAGCCAGTGACTACCCTAACGGTACTGTAGTCACAGCAGTGGAAGGGAGGGATAATCAGAAAAAAATGTGTGAAAAGAAGACTATGTGAGATCATCTTTGAAGCATAGATCTTAACTGTTGAAAAGAGAAAAGCTGTTCTTGGAAAAAAAATAATAGCAAAGATCTGAGATTGGGGAAAATAACTGTTTGGGGAATGATGAATATAGAGTAGAGTGAAAGTGTAATAAAAACTGAAAAGATCGCTGACTTTATTTGGCTCTTCTTTTTAAAAAAGCTTTCCATTGACCTGAGAACATCAGTTTCCCAGACAATGGATTTTGGATAGAAATTATTCTGCTAATTAAATAATGAGGAGGAACTAAAGTTAGAGAATGAATTTAAAGTTGCTGAGGGGGGAGATGGGGAAAAGGATAGTCAGGAAATTTAGGATGGACATGTACACACTGCTACATTTAAAATGGATAACCAACAAGGACCAGAAGAGGACAGGGACCTCTGCTCAATGTTAGGTGGCAGCCTGGAGGGGAGAGGAGTTTGGGGGAGAATGGATACATGGATATGTGTGGCTGAGTCCCTTTGCAGTTCCTCTGAAATTATCACAACACTGTTAATCAGCTATACCCCAATACAAGATAAAAAGATGAAAATAAAAAAAGTTTTCTATCGACTGGAGAACATTAGTTCAGATTTTGGCAAGAAATGATGCTGATAATCAAATAATGAGGAGGAACTAAAGTCTGAAGGAAAAGTAATGAGCAAAACCTGATTGGAAATAACTATCTTGGGGACTTCGCTGGCAGTTCAGTGGTTAAGACTTCACCTTCCAGTGCAGGGGACACAGGCTTGATCCCTGATCAGAGAGCTAAGATCCCATACACCTTGGGGCCAAAACACCAAAAATATAGTTTCTGTTCTGTAACAGAAACTATATTGTAAAAATTCAATAAAGACTTTAAAAATAGTACACTTTCTAAAAAATCTTAAAAAATACCTATCTTGATATGTTGTTTTTCTGTACTGACCTCCTGCATTCTAAATGGGAAGAACCACCTTCATTTGCTCTTTAAAATATCCAGTTGATTTAATAAAGGCATATGAAAGCAGTACAATTTATTGATCTGGATGAAGGTTTAAAACAGTCAAGATCAATATTCATATATTTTAATTTTTATCCCATACATCTTCTTATTTAAATATATCCATACACTGTATTAATATATAATTGTTATTTTTTTCCTTGGATGGTATTAGTCTCAACCACATATTTTAGAATAATGGGAGAGTTTTTCTTTTTTGTTCAGAATTTCTTTTAAATCAGACATCTGGTATTTGGCACTCGATTTTTATTAGACCGGTTGAGCACTTTTAAAGGGGGATAAATCATGTGACTTTCATTTTAATTTTTTACTGTATAGCCAACATATGCTGAGTAATAGCATTAAATAAGATCAGTAAATGAAGGATTATGATCTGTCTGTGTTCAATTTTGCAAAGAAACTAATTAGAGAAAGGTTTTTCAGATCAGAATTGAATTAGCCAGCAATTTTTAAAAATTGTAGTAATATAATGAGAAATGCTTGGATTTTAACATGTTGCTGGTGAGAAGGAAAAATTACAAGGAGCATTAACACTTTCACTCTAATTCTGGCTGAAGGGAGAAGAGAACAGGGCAATTCTTTGGCATAAGCCTCTCCCCTCTGCCAGAAGACATTTAGACAAAAAACAAAACAAAAAAAAAAACCCAAAAACACCTGAAGCCTTTTCACAGCTATCTATTTTAATTAGAGATATTAAGTTGGAAGCTGGAATGTTGAGAGCTAACCTACGGATAATGCAGCATTCTTCACATCCTGGGGAGCATTCATTTTAATTGTCTCATTTCACTAACTTGGATATGAGAAAGGCTTTCTATCCCACTCTTTAATATTTGGCAGCCAGCCAGCTCTTTTCTATGGTTACACTTATTGAGGTACAGAACTGCGTTTGGAATTAAGTTGGAATTTTATTTATAGCTTTGGAATGTCTTGCTAAATGTCTCTAACTATGGCAACTTCTCTTTAAACTGGAATGAAAACTCCATCATTTTTACCAAAAAAAATTTAGCAAAGATTATATAGAGCAGTGTTTATTAGTTTCTTTAAATTCTGTCAGTTATGGGTAGCATAAATAAAAACATTAAATGAATTAGTCTTAACATGGCAATCTTAATTATAAATATCTTAGATTCATATATTTGACTAGTAATCAAAGAAGATTTTGACAAGTAATCTAAACATGACAAATCATGCTATAAGAGATAATTTTATGATTTGTAAAGTTATTTGAAAAGATGTTGCTCTAATTAAAAGAATAAAAGGCCTTCTGCTCAGTGAAGTATAAAATCAAACACTCATTTCAATATTGTGACTAGGACAAATACATATTATGCTCATTTAGTGTTTTTCAATGAATAAGCAACATGGTTTGTTGTACTTTGTCATTTTTAGGCATTCACTATGGTCATAATTTCTTTACATTCCTGAAATCCAAAACAGGATAAACAGAATCACTGGTTCAGTTGCTAAATTTGCATATTTGGCATTTGAAAAACATGAAGAAGAGCCTTCAAAATCCAAGCATGTCTGTGCCCCATTTATCCCCTCAAACTAGTCTCCCATTCTTTCCCAATTATCCTAAATTTCAGTGCCATTTTTTAGTGTTCACTTTCTGTTTTCTCTTTTTCTGGATAATCCCAAGCAAAGTGGGTAGTACAGGGAGAAATTCCAAAGAATACCACAAAGAATGTTCAGATAAAGACTACTCTTCTGCTGTTGGCCCATTTGATCTCTTTTCTTCTTATTTGGACAGTAATTTTCACTGGTAGTTGGGTTAGAAATTAAGCAATAAAGCAAGGAAATTACGTTAAGAGATAAAAATATGTGAATGAGAAAGAAGGTACTGAATCTAGTGCATTCCTTCAGGCTTTCTACTTCTGTATTATTTTTCATTTGTATATTGTTCTTAGTGAAGCAAAAATATCATAATGTATATTTTTATATTCTCAAAGGTTTATTATGAGACAATCAATACACCTGAAACAATCTATGAACAATTAAAAAGAACTGATAAAAAATTGAAACACTAAATATAATTATTTTAAATGTGTGATACAGTTAGTAGTCAGGACAAGGGAGTTCTTAATGGGTGGGGAATAATGTCTACTTTACACATGGAAGTAACTTGAGTTTGGGCTTTGGATTATTGTATAAAGGAAAAGTGAGTGTCCAGAGATTGTCACTGAACAGATGTAACAGAGGAGAAATTCCGAGCCTGGTAACCAGGAATATGCAGAGATAAACTTGAGTGTGTTGGATCATGAAAGAAATTCCTAGTTGTACCTACCATCCATCAGAGACCCTCATGAGGAAGACTGGGAAAGGTACATGAATATAACAACAACAACAAAAAAAAAAACCGAATCAAAAGATCAACATTTGGGTCGCTTTAAAATTTTGGCTTATTCTTTGGATAAAGAAGATGTGGTACATATATATGATGGAATATCACTCAGCCACAAAAAAGAATGAAGTAATGCCATTTACAGTAAAATGGATAGACCTAGAGATGATCATATTAAGTGAAGTGAGCCAGTCAGAGAAAGACAAATATCATATGATATCACTTTCATGGGGAATCTAAAAAAAATGATACAAATAAAATTGTATACAAACCAAAAATAGATGCATAGACATAGAAAATAAGCTTGTGGTTACCAAAAGGGGAAAGAGGGGAGGGATCAATGAGGAGTTTGGGATTAACAGATACACACTACTGTATATAAAATAGATAACCAACCATCACCTACTATACAGTGTAGGGAACTATACTCAACATTCTGTAATAATCTATAAGGGAAAAGAATTTGAAATACAATTTATATATATGTGTGTGTGTTTTTGTGTGTGTGTATGTATATAGCAAAAGTCACTTTGGTGTACACCTGAAAATAATATGATATTGTAAGTCAACTATATATTAGTAAAAAAGTTTATTTTTTAAATTCAATGGCTTCAAAAAAATTTTTAGTTTATTCTAATGTTGGTCCAAGTGTATTTCTCTCTCCTCATTTCTACTTCCCAAGTTTAGAGACTGAGTCTGGTGACACAAAATAAAAGCAGATGTTTTTCTAAATATTCTATGTATTCTGCTATGTTAATTACAACTCAGTAGAGATGTCCATAGAAAGAAAGGATGGAGTTGTAACATCTTTCCAACTGCCTAGGTAGTTCTTTCTCACTGACAAGAGCTTCATGGATTCCTTTATACCTGTCAATCTTCACACCTGCCAGAGATTTGGAGCATGTGGAGATTTTGTTAAATGACTCCAACTTTCTTCTGAAAAGGCAACCATGAGTAGCCTCTAATAAAAAGTATTCCCACGTGCAGGTATATATTTTGTTTAGATTATTTGAACTACTTTTTTATTCTCAGACTTGTTTTTATTCCACAGCACTTAGTCTCCACATATCTAAATAATTATCTTCTGTCCCATATTTATTATCCCTCTAGTCTTCTTATACTGTTTTTCTCTTCTCTAATTTTTTTTAAATTTTGAGACTTTGAGAATAGATGCAAGTAAATAGAGGTATTTGACATCACAAAACCACTGGGGTTTCCAGTCAGGGGGAACCATGGTGTTCAGGTTTTCTATCCTAGTTGTTACCAATTAACTCAGAGTGTCCACATTTGCATGACATTGAGGAAAATTGAAATTTTAAAAAAATGTTTTATTTTATATTGGAATGTAGCCCATTAACAATGTTTTGATAGTTTCAGATAGACAGTGAAGGGACTCAGCCATATACATACACGTGTATCCATTCTCCACAGGCTCCTCTCCCATCCAGGCTGCCACATAATACTGAGCAGAGTTCTCTGTCCTATATAGTATGACCTTGTTGGTTATCTATTTTAATTTTTAAATATAGCAGTGTGTATATGCCCATCTTAAACTCCCTAATTATTCCTTCCTCCTATAGTTCCCCCAGGTAACTGTAAGTTCATTCTCTAAGTCTGTGAGTCTTTTTCTGTTTCATATATAAGTTTGAGGAAAATTGAAGTTTTGATTACTGACAGTAATTACTCACTGATAAAAAAGATTCGTTCTTTTCTCTGGGTAATGTTCTAGGTTAATGGCTCTAGCAGAGAATATGATGTTATTCTGTTTTCAATAACAGCCCTTACCTGATTTGACTCCTTGCAGTACAATGATGAACCATCATGAAATAGAATTTTCCTTATTCACTATACTCACATATTCAATTTAGCTTGAACAAAATACCATTGACTCTATTGCATATCCCAGGGCTACCATTTCACTCTCTCAGCCTGGAAGAACTGACTGAGGTTTGCCATCAGAATTTCTTTCATAGACTTTCCCAAAAACCCAATAAAAGGAAATAGAAGTGGCTGAACCTATTTCATTGACTGTAGGCCCACTGCCTGGTTTCTGTTAAGTTTGACAGTATTTATTTTTGACTCTAGAATAATGTTTGAAACTGTGGTTGTAAATATTTCCCCCCCCCAAATCTCAAATATCTAACCTGGAAAAAAGAAATAATAATGAAAAGGGTGGAAAGTGACAGAACTAAAGTTCTTCTCCCCTTTGATAAGCATCAGAAATTCTGCTGAGTGGGCAGAACCTGACACTTCTTATCTCACTGAAAAGTCTGTTTTGCTTAAATCTGTCTTCATTTTTAGTCCATGGTAGCATATCAATCATATTTAATTCATATATTACTGTTCCAATACATTGTGTCATCAGGTAAAAAATTAGGGCATATTTTATGAAGCAATGACTATTTTAAGAAAATTCTAGAAAATTTAAAGTTGTTTTTCCCCTTTCACAGTCTAGGTTATGATATTTTCAGTGTAATAGTAAACCTGTCTTCAAAAACTATTATTCATAAACACTTTCCCTTAGGCTATACCCAAATTCTAAGTCCTGTTCAAAACTTAACATTTTTATCTTACTTTTTAAAATTTTCTTTTCATAGCCAGTCATGTGAAAAACAAAAAAGCTGTTATGTTTCCAGTACGATGATTTTTCTACTGAATAAAATTTCAGTCTAATGTTCCCCATAGAAGCCTGAAGAAGCAACCGTCTTTGTATTTGTTACATAAGTCTTAGGGGCAAAATTTCCTCAAAAATGTAGCAAAATCATTGTTCCTACTTTTCAGCTTTTTAAAGAATTTTTCTAAATTGTGGACTTGAAACTACTAAATCTAATCTTTTTTCTTATGAATTGTCCTTATTTTACTACGTGGTTTAAAACATTAAGTTTTGGAGGGACTCAGCTGGCTAACAGTTACCTCTGATACTACCTTTTAGGAAAATGGTCTTCATTTAAATTTGGGTTCTGTGACTTTTTGATTTTACAAGAACCCTTTGACTTTAGGAGGAGAGTAAGAATATCTCTGGATCCTTTTTCTGCTCTTTCGCTGTGGTGTTCCATATACTTTCAGTGGAGGGAGTGAGCATTGTCGAGTAGTTAGCATAAGTGATAGGAAAAATCCCTGAATGCTGTATGGCCAGAATAATTGCACACAAATGCATTCAGAAATCCTATGGAAAATATAGTGCTGTTAACTGGCATGGTTACAGCACAATTTAGCAAGTATGTTAGAACAAATTACCCCCTGTAACCGTAAGCCATTCTGTTTCACGCTTTTTAATGAAGGCCTGTACCACACACTAGAATCCTTCTCACCTCATTACTACTCATAAAAAGCAATGATCCGTTCAAAGGCTCCTCATCTCTCCCATATGAGCGGTAAAGAGCCTCGCCTCTCCTTCTGGCACAGAAGACAGGAAAGCTTCTTCCCCAGCAGCCTTTGAAGTCCATCATTAGCATGTTTGCTAGATAAAAGAGAAGAAAATTTATCTGTGCAATCTCACTGTTGTCACGTGTGTTAATGTTTCACCCTGCCTTTAAAAACAAAGCAAACAAAACAAAATAAAATCCGAAGACATCTCTTGTTTAGAGAATACAGATTTGCAAGACTGTTAGCGCAATTGCTCCTTCCCTGTTCATGAGGAATTTTCAAAGAAACTCTAAAACATGGGAAGAATTTAAGGGGCCACTGAATGTAAAGTATGGAGTCAATAAAAAGGCAGGCGGAGAAGTAAGATGATTGGTCCATGCAGAAGAAACAATTCAATTGTGAATTAAAATACTTTTTCTCTCTCCCCAGAATATCATAAAAAAAATTGATTTTCTTTGAAATACACTATTTGATGAACAGATTTAGCTGAGACTGGCGTACTTACCTTTCTCTCTATAATTTCAGAGACAATATCTAATATTAAAGATACATTGAGTACATTCAGTAAAAATTGAGGTGAATGTATGCTCTTCAAAAAGAGGTGGTGATACACACACACACACATATACATAAATATATAAAATTGTGGAGGAGATATAACAAATCTAATTCAGCAGCAAAATTTTGTACATTTTTTTAAGTTCTAGGTAGTAGGAATGAAAAAGCTTATACAAGAGAAAGAACATATTCAAAAATATTGTTTACACACCATAACTGTGTCTGAGCCAGCAGGAAGAATAGTTGTTCATCTCTATTACATGAGGATTTCCAGTCAGGCCATTCTGTTGAAGAGTGTGCAACAGAATAATAACGTTTGCATTTCAAGCAAGAGTCCATACCCGGTACTCAAATAATTTGAAAGCGGAGACCGGGCATCTAAATTCTGTAATGTAACAAAACCCTGGAAGCTGGCACATGTTATAAATTTAAATGATGGTTAAAATCAATTCCGTTGCAGGAAAAATGCATTTAACATAAACTTTTGGGTGACGTTTCTAACTTTCTCTGTAGTAGCTCTGAAAATATACCGGATCACCTGATGCAATGCTGTCAAACCCTAGCAAACACTTATGTGGGGCAGTTTCTAAATGAAATTGGTATTCTCCAGGCGCTGTCCCGAAACGCAAGCCCTGGGCGGCTCACACTCTCAAGCTACAAGAGAGAAATGCTGGTACTGTACTTTAATAGGGTCGGGGAAGCACATGTTTGCAGAGACTGAGCGACCCCTGCAATAATAACAGCACAGCTTTGTTTCATTTGAAAACATAAATCTGTACACACATACTTAGTGAGACATATATCCATGTATATAGAAAAAAGTTCAGCTAATAATAAAAGAAAGGATGAACATTGGCACGGGAGATGTTGACAGCATTATGCAAACTTTTCAATATTCCCTTGCATGCTCAACTTTAACTTTTGTTTATAAAGTCCACTTAGACATAATTTACAACTTCTGTTAGCTTAAGCTGGGTTCTGTAAAATCTGTCTAAAAAAATCAACCCAGAGTGCTTTGAAATGTTACAAGTATATCTAGATATCAAACACTGAACCTTGCAAATTATATCCATTTTGGAAACTCTGGGTTGTTATTCATGCACACAATATATTTTAGTTCTAATGTTTTAAAATGATGAAGCAAATCTTGCTTTTCTTTTCTTTTTTTCCTTGCCTTTTCCAACTCTTGCTCTAGTATCTATGAAAGAGACTTAGGAGCTGAAGCAAAATAAAATGAGAAATTCTTAAGGTTAATGTGGTTTAAAAAATTTTTGAAATTCAGACTCTGTCAGGTAATTTGGTGAGGAAAAAATACCCAGGTCAGGCAAAAGTTTCCAATTCCCTGAAGTTTGTAATTTCTACTATAATTTCGGACTTCAAGACTTAAAAATGTTATGTAACTTATATTTATTTCAGCCAGGTACAGCTGTTGTGAAGCTTCCCTGGTGGCTCAGTGGTAAAGAATCTGACTGCAATGCAGGAGACATGGGTTTGATCCCTTGGTTGGGGCGATCTCCTGGAGAAGGAAATGACAGCCCACTCCAGTATTACCTGAAGAATTCCATGGACAGGGGAGACTGGAGGGCTTCGGTCCATGGGGTCACAAAAGAGTGGAACACAACTTAGTGACTAAACAACAACAGCTGTTGCAGACATCTGATGTCTTCTCCTTTCTGAGTAGTTAGAAATGTCAGTCAGTCAAGATTAAGAGAAAAGGGTAAATCCCATCTCTTTATTGACTCTTGCAGTGTACATTGCTTTGGGATCAAAGACAAACTGAAGTTCTTCTTAGTGACCACTTCTAAAATAGCAGAACAGCAAAACACACAGCTTCATTTTTGCTCTCAATGGAAGATATGACATGGCTGCAAAGAGGATGCTTCATAGGCAGCACAATTTACTCTAAGCTTTGGCCAAAGAGAAATATTTCTAACAGGATGGGAACTGAAAGGATGAAACGAAAGGTAAAATAATGGAGAATAAAATAACTCAATAACATATTAATGAATTAGTAATTTTTGACTATGACAATATGGATGTAAGTCAAGTATTAATATAACAGGGGACTAGTTCCATATCAAAACACAGCTGGGTGCCCCCATGGAGACATTATGGGGAATGTCAGATTCATGCTTCACTTTTGCCTGTAGGAGGGGTGGGGAGAGTTGGAGAAGAGAGAAAAGGCCTGATCCTGGTTCTTCATTATGTACCAATAGTTCTTCATTCCTAAAGCAGTGTATTCAAGCCTCTAGCATTTTCCCATATTCAGTCCCCTTGTGTCTGCTCAGATGTGAGTAGGATCAACTGTCCAGAGCCCCTTCAACTGAGTCTAGATTCCAGCTCTAGGACAGGGGTTCCTGCTTCCTTCAGTTAATAACTTATTTCCCAATGTTTGGAAACAATTCCAACTTCTCTTTGTTAGAATAACCAGCGTGAGTTCTGTTTTCTTCTGGACCCTGGCTGATACACTCTCTGTTTCAGATTTCTTTTTTCCAAAACAAACAGCTTTTTAATTGAAGTTTAATGAATTCACAGTGTTGTGTCTTTGAAGATGGGAATCAGATTTTTCATTTTCTTGTGCCTGTCATAATGTATTCAATGTATATGTTGTTTTGTTGCTCAGTCCCTCAGTCATGTCCCACCCTTTGAGACCTCAAGAACTGTAGCCTGCCAGCCTCCGTTCATGGGATTCTCCTGGCAAGAATACTGGAATGGGTTGCCATTTCCTATTCCAGGGGATCTTCCTGACCCAGGGATTGAACCCATGTCTGTTTAGGTCTCCTGTAGATTCTTTACCACTGAGCCACCTATATTCCAATAAAAATTAATTTTAAAAAATTGCAGGGGACTTGCAGTACTTCTGAAGATCTTGTACTTGATGGATCAAATGTAGCTTCAGAGTCTCAGATTTAACTTGCAATTCTTAACCCAAAGGAGAAGTCCAATGATGGTGGATTTTTTTGTTTCTGTTTTTAGGTATTTGAGGCCTGAGGTATTCTCTGGAGTTGGTGCTAATCTCTGCTTACTTTGCTTTGAATTAAATCGGCCAGGAAAAAATCTTGAGTGAATATGAATATTTATTCTCTAATAAGTTCCTACCTTAGTCTCCACAAATCTGATTAGGCAGAAGAGAATACGTTTTCATAATACAATTACTGATCTGCTACCTTGTTCCAGGTAATGTACAGATACTAAAATTGCCACTTAGTTAACTAAGTGGCTTGACTGGAATTTAGATCTTAACTCTCTTTGACTACAATCCTTCGATGCTCTTGCTCTTTCTATACTACATCTGTTTGTTTTTTAGGTGTAAAGTTTAATTCATAACTAAATATATGTCTTATTTGTAGGTATCTTTTAACTCAGCTTTCTGACAGGATTCAAGATCACATGATGGAATTTTGGCCAAGCTATGATCTACAAACCCAAGTATCTTGCTTACATTCTTGAAGATGGGGCTTTAGTAATTTTATAGGCTCTGGAGTTTTATACTATAAATAAATTTTGTTCTGAATGGTTTCAGTGAGACTAAGCAGACTATTTGCTTGCTACTTTTATTCTGATCACTGTAATCTGTTACAGAAACAAAGAAACAGAAAATCTTAAACCTATATAAAATATAAACCTATGTAAATCCTCTATTGTTTTTCTGTGGTATGTAAATACACATTGGTCTAGGATGTTTCTATCTGTTAACAAACTGACTTTCAGAAGTGTTTGCCAAATTTGAACTTATTTACGAAATGGTGTATTCTTAAGTGAAGTTAAAAGAAGTTCTCTTCTAGTAATTCCAGTAACCTTTTACCTGGGCAAGAATTTAGGTTCATGAAGCTATGACAAATGTCAAGTATTCAAGTCCTTGGTGGAATTTGAGGCAGGGGTGTGCTGGAGCTGGTCCACACTGGCTCCTAAGAGCAGACTGTTAAATATTAGGGAATTTTGTGAGCTGGTTGTTAAACACAGCCACTATTAAAAATTGGATTACATAAACTTAAAATTAAATAAATTGCATTAAAACAAAGGTAATACATACTCAAAATTTATTACTTCCTACTTAACTTTTTTAATTTAAAATTTTTTATTAAAGTAGAGTTGATTTACAATGTTGTGTTTAATTTCTGCTGCACAGCAAAGTGAGTTTTATATATATATATATATATATATGTATATATATATGTATGTATATATATTATAGCTTCAATATCCATTATGGTTTATCACAGGATACTGAATATAGTTCCCTGTGCTATACAGTAGGACCTTGTTGTTTATCTATCCTATATGTAATAGTTTGCATCTGCTAATCCCAAACTCCCAGTCCTTCCTACTTAATTTATTACATTATAGTATCATCCATGCTCTTAAGATAATTCATGTCTATTGATTCTGTTACATGGTATTGGAAATACCACATAACAGTGTGCTGTTGAATATTTCTTCCCAACTTTGGGAACATATCCTGGTAGCATAAATTCTATCATAGAAAAATATTTAAACCACAGAAACTGGCAAATGCTAAGAATTAGGGCTTTACTTGCTTTTTTTTTGGTCTAGACTTAAAATAATTAGGAAATATTAATAATTCAGATCAACTTTAAAAGCACATTATATCTATAGCTGTTACATAGTGAATAGTGCAAAATTTAATGACACATCCTCTTAGTATTTGCAAACTACTATGAGATTCAGCAAAGGTAATGCTCATACCATTGAGAACGAGTGAAGTTTCAAATTATTTCTTTGATGTTTTTATTTTCATCTTTGTGAAGTTAAATGAGAATATTAACCCATGTTCATGTTAGAATTGTATTCATCAATTATAACCAGAGATCAATTATTAATTTAAGAGTTTGGCAAAAATCAACCAAAGCCTCTGTGAGAATAAATTAATTGTGTGAACTCCTGGCAGTGGGGGGAAGAGGATTTACATATTTCATTCTGTTTGTAATTTGTATGCTACACATTTTTTTTTTATCAGTAAAAGGTATAATAAAGAATAAGTGTAGACGCACACAGTTTTCTTCTTCTGGAGAGCCTCCCTCTTGTTAAACACGGAGCATCACACTTCTCATAGGTGTGCAAGCCTTGAGATTCCGGTTTATTCTCCATGAATTGTATAGATGCTGTCTGCTGGTACAGAGCTGAGGACTGTTCCTACAACAGCCAATTAGTTTATTAGTACAGTTAGTTGGAAAAAAAAATTAACCAGAGATCAATTATTAATTTAAGAGTTTGGCAAAAATCAACCAAAGCCTCTGTGAGAATAAATTAATTGTGTGAACTCCTGGCAGTGGGGGGAAGAGGATTTACATATTTCATTCTGTTTGTAATTTGTATGCTACACATTTTTTTTTTATCAGTAAAAGGTATAATAAAGAATAAGTGTAGACGCACACAGTTTTCTTCTTCTGGAGAGCCTCCCTCTTGTTAAACACGGAGCATCACACTTCTCATAGGTGTGCAAGCCTTGAGATTCTGGTTTATTCTCCGTGAATTGTATAGATGCTGTCTGCTGGTACAGAGCTGAGGACTGTTCCTACAACAGCCAATTAGTTTATTAGTACAGTTAGTTGGAAAAAAAAAATAAGTGTGACAAAGGCTACTGCTAGAATGTATCATGACACATTTAAAAGTCTTCTAAATGTCAATGGATGATGTGTCCAGAGACAAAAACCTAATTCTGCAAATTTCTGATGAACTTCTTCCTCCTGAAACACACAGAAAGTGTGAGGTGTCTATGACATCCAGGAGAACTTTCAAATTCCTGTTGAATTTTGTTTCGCTTTGGGGATAATTAGAGAATTAAAGAGTATGTGAAATTTTTCAAAATACTTACCCAAGCCTTAGAAGCTGTTGTCCCCATAGTCAATGTCAAAAATTTGAAAGTCTGGAAGGGATGTTTTGTCATTATATTAAAAATGTTAAATTCCTTCCTTTCTTCTTTCTTTCATTTCTTCCCTCTTCTCCTTTAGCTTCTTTCTTTTTTGTACTTAAATTTTTTCATTCATTGATTAATTTAATTGGGAACAGAGGTATTAATGACTTGGAGATACCTAAGAATTCATGAGAAGTTACAAAAAACAGAGAGAAAGCAAAATATAATTTTAAAAATTATTCTTTTAGATATTTAAAAGATGGGGATTGTAAAATGACATCTGAGTCATCATTTTTGAAATATTTCTAGCTTCTTCATGTACATAGAAACTCTGTTACTTTAAACACTGTAGGTATTGCATGAGAAAGTAGGAGTTGTCCCTAATGTAAGAATGATAAATGGATTAAAGGGCTCATCTTGTTCAAAATTTCAGCTATGATGCTTTGCCCTAGAGTTAACAGAATGCATTATCTGCAGGAATGATTAGACCATGGTTTTCCTCATTTGTAAGACAGGGTGTGTGTGTGTGTGAATGTGTATACACAAGCACCCACAATAACTATCCTGAGAATCCTAACCAGAGTCTGATGTCTGATTTATTTTTTGGCTATTTGTGAAATGCTTTGTTACATCATTTGTTTAAAGCCAGAGAAGCTTCATACTCATCATGTGGTCAAGAATGCAAAATCTGTATTATTTATTTTTATGAATCTAAAATTCATGAATTCTTATGATCATTCTAACACCTGATGAGTTAAACAGCAGTTTTTGTTTCCCTAACAGCATAACTGTTCTTTCAAGGATAAAAATATAAGTTATCTACAGTTGTTCTTTTTTTAAATCTGACAGTTCTAAACAGATAATCTAAGTAATAATCAAAAGAACAAAAGTACTATAGTTCTACAGTTGAACCACCTCTACCAGTAAGATGTTTGATGTGTGAGATGCAGCAGCAGAATAATTTAAGGAGAAATTAAGTCACTCATTACAATACTATTCAAGAGATATTCTAACATGGTTGCAGAAAAATATCCCTGCTATGAATATTTATGAGAATGTAATCTTTTTTTAAAAAAAAAGTTTTCTTGCATCTTAAGTTCTAAAAGCACCATCAATTTTTGCTGTTGTTGTTCAGTCACTAAGTCATGTCTGACTCTTTTGAAACCCCATGGAGCGTAACCCGCCAGGCTCCTCTGTCCATAGAATTCTTCAGGCAAGAATACTGGAGTGGGTTGNGGAAAGGCAATCCTTTCCAGTATTCTGGCCTGGAGAATTCCAAGGACTATAGAGTCCATGGGGTCTCAAAGAGTCGGACACGACTGAGCAACTTTCACTTTACTTTCAGTATATATTCTCTCCTTGCTTTCTTTGGAATTATCTTTCTTTTTTTCTAATTGAAGCTTACTAGATTTACAATATTGTGTTAGTTTCAGGTGCACAGCATGGGCAAACTATTTTACCTGAAATTGGTGGGTTTTTAAGGCTCGAAACTGAAATTTATTTCTTCCAAGGAACGCTTACATCTCTCATTTAATTTTACTAGTGATAGGCAAGTATGACAAATCTTTCACCTTTTTATTTATCAAAGTTACATATTTACTTTTTTTCTTCAATTATTCTACCTCTAAATTTTGTTGGTTTTGAGATTTGTGACATATGAATAAAATCTACCTTTTTATCTTCTAAACTGAATACAAAACATGCCCCTTTGTTTCCTCTTATAACAAAGGTGATTAGGGCCAAGATAACCCAGAATACCAGTTCTTGAGGGAAATGTTGCTTATAAGTCTCTGTGCTAGATTTATCTGGGATAGGCTTTCAGTATTATCTGAGTATTTGTATTCCTCAATTTGCATACCATTTTTCATAGATTCAAAGAATTCCATGATTGTCAGGCATCTTAAAGACCAACAAACCCAAACACTTCATCTTTAATAAACAAACTAACATCTAAATATCTTAAGTGACTTGCCAACATCAAACAATAATTTGGGGCAGAGCACAGAGTAGAACAGATTTTATATCTATGTTATGTTTTCCTACTCCATGTGGCTGCTTCTGAGGCCTCAGTCATCCTATTTGTGGTTACTCTTTTAGAAACTGATTAAATGCAAATCAAGAAATTTCAGTATTTTTAATATTAATTTGCTTGTCTTAGCTCATGGATCGTTAGAACTTGTTCACAATCAAAAAGCACAGGGAGGCTTAAGTTAACAATCGGTGGCAATGACAGCTGACTTTCTGATCCCAGAATAATCTGTTGTGGGAAGAATAGAAATAATTGTAATTTCCTTTGGGTAGAATTAATTGTACATGACAAATTCCCAAAATAAAGAGGTATTTTGGTTCAATTTGGTTTCTTTCTGTCTCCCTTTCTCCCCCTCTTTTCATTCTAGTTGAGGTTCTGCCACCAAAACATTAAGTCCTTGAAGGGTAAGCTCCTTTGGTCTGATGGTTTCCTAAGGACTGTCAGAACTTTAGAAATGGAAAGTGCCGTTGCATGGCTTTCACTTTACTGAAAAGATCCAGGGAGATGGACTGACTGGCCAAAACCACAGATACTGGTGGAG